CACCCACCACCATCACCACCATCACCACCATCATTGGCCTTTGGGCAGAGACTCAGAGAGTGGCAGTCTCATACAAAAGAGGATTTCTTTAACACACCTGGGCTGGGCCAAACATGTTTACCCCCAGAAACCACCTGTGGTCTGCCAATTAGCATTTGGTATGGAAACTAACCAGGTATCTTTCTAGGGATTGGAGAGGAACTGTAGATTCAAAGCTTCCCTCAGGAGCTTTTATTAGCCGCAACGGGTCAGGTGGAATCAAGAAATCAATCTATTTTGCTCCCTGGTCTGCAAGTCTTCCCCAGGCAGATTACGATAATCAAAGATAGGAAACTGACCTCTGATTTCCCAGGTATAGAGAATTTACTGGGGAAGAAACTGTCTACTAATGCAAGATGGCACCTTCTTTGCAACTTGTAGCCTTGGAAAGTTGTCTAGAGTACTAAGAGGATAAATGACTTGTCCAGAGCTACAACAGTCAGTAGGTCTGAGAGATGGGCCTTCCAGGCTCTGAGGCCAGCTCTCACCCATTGTTCCATGATTCCTCTCTGAATTGTTGGTATATGAAGCTGGAAACCAGGACTAGCTTTACATGTAGATGAAGAAACCCATATCTAATGGTGTGTTAATTAAAGAGCCTCTAGGAAAGGAGTCACCCTCCCCCACCTCAAAGGAAATACTTCCTCAGCTGATGTCTGAAATTCCACCACTGATGAGATATTCCTTCTTGTTAAGACTGTCATCCTTATGCAAATGTAATACTCTTGAGAGGAGTTATATATTAAGTCTTTAATACCTAGGGTAAATGAATTTATAAGATTCAACAAGAACTTGAAAAATCATTTAATGAGTGCCTACTTAAAGCAAAGTATTATGCTAGACTGTGAGGGAAATAGAAAAATTAATAAAACATAGTTCCTACCTTCAAGAAGGAACTTAAATGCACTTAATAATAGCAGTTTATTGACTTTTAGCTTACAGTGTAATAGACTAGGGTGTGGGTGGGGGGAAATAGTGAAAAGAACCATGAGGTTGCTCAAAGTTTCAAGTCCTAACTATAACTTAAAACTGTTTTATCTTGGGCAGAATCTTGTAATGGAAAGAGAAACCTTTGAAATGTAATGATTTTGCATCTTTAAAAGTATTGGTGTATTTTGTCTTAATCATACTTTGTCTTTCTTTTAAATTTTCAATTTTAATATCAGATATAACTGAAAACAAACTTTTAAAACAGTCATTAAAAATAAACCTTTCAACATACCAATAAAAAAAAGAATACTAGAATTTTTAGAGTTGGAAGGAATCTTAATGGCTATCTAGTCCAATCTATAAGCCCCAATAAAATACCCTATAAATAAGTGGTCATCCAGCCTTTTCTTAAAAACTTCCAAGGAGAGGTAACCCACTTTCTCCCTGGGCAGACCATTCCACTTTTCGACATCTCAGATTATTAGGAAACTTTTCCTGAGATCGAGTCTCAATTTTCCCTTTGGTAACATTCTACCCATTCTGCCCTCTGAGGCCAAACCCACTAAAGACTACTTCCTCCTCAGCGTGATGGTCCTTCAGAGACTTGAAGGCAGCTGTCATGTCCCCCTTGCGCCCTCTCTTCTCTAGGCCAAACATCCATAGTTCCTTCACTCAATTCCTATGTGACATTGACTGAAGGTCCTTCAGCATCCTGGTTGTCTTCCTCTGGCTGCTCTCCTGATTGTCCAGGCTCTTCCTAAACTCTACCATCTAGAGCTCCACACAATGCTTCAGAGACGATCTGACCAGGGCAGATGCTCATTCCTCCTTTTACTGGAATAAAGATACACTCAATTGGGGATGGGGGAAGGGGCTGCCACATCACACTGTCAACTGAGGAACCTTTCTAAGACTATAAATTATAAATTGCAGAGAAGGTACCTACCTGCCTAGAGGAAGTTCCTTAGATAGAATGGGGCTGATGAGCCCTGGAAGCTCTGCTGGCTTGTTATAACTAGATTAGAAGTAACTCAGAATGAGATTCCCATGCCCTATAATTGGACAATTTTCTACCTGTGAGGTTGTTTGTTTATAAATTTTTCTTGCTTTTCTTTTAGAGACTAGCTCATTTTACTTGAAAAATACAGTTATCTCTGCTAAGGAGAATTGTAGGTGCCATCTTGGTCTGTCTGCTTCCCCAAGTTATTGGGACACTGGCTGCCACTGTTCAGCAATAAAGGAAGTGTCCAACAGACAGGAGTGACAAGATTCTACAGCAAGGAAAAGTATTTAATACAAGATCAAGGACTTGGTATAGTCAGACAGATGATTGTGTTCAATTCTGGACTTCATGATTTCAGAAAATAAGGGGAAGGGAATAAGCAATTATTAAGTGCCTTCCTATGTACCAGGTGTTTTACAAATATCTCATTTGATTTTCATAACAAGTCTGTGAGATTCTGTTTCCATTTTACAGTTGAGGAAACTGAGGCAAACAGAGGTTAAGTGACTTGCCCAGGGTCACACAGCTATTAAGTGTCTGAGGCTGGATTTGAATTCTTTCTGACTCCAGGCCCAGCACATTGAAAAGCTGGAGATTGCCCAGGGAAGGACAGCCAGGATGAGGAAAGGCCTTGAGTCCATGTCATAGAGGATAGAAAGAACTGAGGATGTTTATCCTGGAGAGACCAAAAGATTGGAAAAGAGGAAGGGACACAATAGCTGTCTTCAAGTATTTGAAGGGCTGAAATGTGGAGAAGGGATGAGATTTATAGAATGAGTCTAATATGGAGCGAATGGAAGGTCATCTCAGAGGAGACGTTATCAGGTGAGAGACAGGGAAAGGCCTCCTGAAGAATGATGGGAATTGAGCTGAGCCTTGAACAGGAAGCTTCCAATAAGAAGTAGCAAAGAGACAAATTTAAGCTTGATTTCAAGAAAAACTTCCTGATAGAGGTATTCAAGAGTAGAAAAGACTGGGAGAAAATGGGTATCTTCTCCTTGGAGGTCTTATAAGGAAGTCTGGATGACACTTACCAGGAATGTCATAGTGAGGATTCTTTTCATATATACGCTGAACTAGACCGTTTCTGAGGACCCTTCCAACTAGAAAAGTGGGAATACACGATGAGAAAGGACAAGACAAACATTTGGCCACTTGACACTTCAGCCAAACCACAGTGGTGGGGAACCTGCAGCCTCGAGGCCACATGTGGCCCTCCAGGTCCTCAAGTGCTGCCCTTTGACTGAATCCAAACTTTGTGGAACAAATCCCCTTAATAAAAGGATTCGTCCCGTAAAACTTAGACTCAAAGGACTGTACTTGAGGTTCCCCACTCCTTAGCCAAAGGGTTCAAGGTTAGAGAGAGAGAGAAGGGAGCAAGAGGAGACATAATGGTTTGGAAGTCAGAGGCTTTTTCTCTGCGTCTGGCCTACCCTTATGAAGACTACTGTGCCATGAGCCATCACCTGGCAGTGGTAAGATGCAGAGAGAGGTCCCAGACATCAAGAGGACACCAATTAGAAAGCACAGGATCCTGAGTCCATTCCCAGCACTGTGAAGAACTCTGCGTCCAGGGTTCCTGAACTGTTATCTAGAGACACTCTGCTAGATGTGAACCCAGTATCATTGGAAGTTAAATGGTATTCTCTACCTTCCTTCTTGGGACCCCTGACCGTGGCCTATACTTTCCCATCTCCTACCTTTGTTTACACTGTTCCAAGGCCTGAAATGTCTTCCTAAACCCTCTGTTCATTTGTTGAACGCGTTGTTGGGCCAATTTAAATGGCCACCTTCTCTATGAAGCCTTCCCATTCTCCCCATTTTGATTCCCAGCCCAGAGTTCTTTCCACTTCATTGGCTTCTGAGGTTTCTTTCTTCCCTTAGGCACCTCCCCCCTCCCCTCAATTTCACTGATCGATTCTGATTTACACTTAACTTGCTTTGGGAAGATCATCCTGTATTTTCCGTCTATACCACCTACTAAGTGTAATATTGCTCATACCACTAAAGTTAGTACTTTATCATACAGTATCCTTTCTCCAGGAGTTTCTTACATTACTATTTTGCTTCTCCTTCAAAATCATAAACTCTTTGAAAGCAAGATACACCTGTGTGTCTCTGTCTCTGTCTGTGTCTCTCTTTGACCCTGTCCTTTCTCTCCTTCCACCAGGTATGGAGACATCACAGGTATTTAATAAATTCTGAGTGATTGACTGAAGATGGGACAAGGAGTCAGGTTATCCTTGTTACAGTGTTTGTTCCTGCTCTGATACAGGCTTTTTCCTATATTTTGTTGCACAAATAGGGACTCAAATTCTTCAGGGTTTTTTTCCTGTGCAAAAAGAGTGATATTCCAGTTGTAATTATTATCTTTATCATAAACCATAAGAAGGTAGAGATTTCCTTTCGGAGACAGTTTGGACCAGGCAGCCTCTCACATCCCCTACTAGCTCCGAGATTCTGTGAGACTCCCGGGTTTTTTCATGTGGAACGAGCAGCTGGTTTGGAACGCTGCAAGTGACTTACTGGGGACTTTTTGTTTGCCTGAAGACACTGTTTCTTTGGGGATAAAGCCTGTGTTTATAATCAAAATGACACCTCAGTGAGTGTAGGACCATGCATCCATAATTGAAATGAGAATAAGAAAATCAGAAAAAGAAGACTGAATGTGGCGAGGGGGGTAGAGTGTGATGTGGTTGGGGAGGGCGGTGTTTGCTTTGGAGGGATTGTTATGGTCCTCACACCCCATCACACTTTTTTTTTTGGTGGAACTTATATTCCAGTGCTCCATTTTAAATGCATTCTAGCTGGGTAAAAGCTAGAACGTGTGGTTTTCAGGCATTTCCTAATAGCTCTCCTTACGCATGCGTGTAACATTCAAAGCTGCGCTCGGGATTTAAACGGAGGGGAGAGGAAAGACGGGAGAGGATGAAGGAGAAGAAAAAGAGGAGGCGGGGGAGGGGTCAAGGAAGGGAGTGGGAGGGAAGGAGGGAAGACGGGAAGGAGAAGAGGCTTGTTGATTACTCACCATTCAAGATGAGGGCAAACATCTCCAGTCTGTTCATGTGCTGCCCCTCAAAGCCAGCAAGGCTTCTGTGCCTAAAGAAACAAAGGCGACCCAGCGGGAGAAAGCAGTGGGCAGGCAGCCAGGAGGCCTGGGTTCAAATCCCAGTTCTGGGTTCAAGTCTTCTTCCTGGGAGTTTGAGTTTGTTCAATAAAATCATCTAATCTCCCTGAGCTTCTTAGAACTATGTAAAGGTAGGCCAGACATTTCAGAAATTGTCTATCATGGATTTAGATCAGAAAGAGGTCTTAAGGCTAACTAGTCATAACCCCGTCCCTATTTTACAGATAAGGAAACTGAGGCCCAAAGAGGTAAAGTGACTTGCCCAAGGTCTCATAGTGTATAGCAGAACTGAGTCAAAAATCTAGGCCTCTTTATTACTAGCCTAGAGCTCTTTTTAACCACACCACAGCCCTTCAATTTTCTACTCTGTCATATGAAAGGGTTGAACTAACTGATCCCTGGAGTGGCTTTCAAGTCTAAAAATCCCATGACCCTTTGATTCTGAAAACATTTGTAAAACCATAAAGCACTATAAAAATCTATGTGTTATTATTAATAGTAGTAGTAGAACAGTACTCAGCTGCACATACCTGTAGAACTAGAGTTCTCAATCTTTTTAGTCTCTGAATCCCTTCAATAATCTTAAAAATTGTAGAGAATCCCCCCCAAAAAAGAGAGAGCTTTCGCTTATGTGGATCATATACTTTTTTTTACCATATTGAAATTAAAACATCTTAATATTATTATGAAAATATTTTTTAATTTTTAAAAATTTATATTTTATCATTTATTGTTATCAAAATTATTTGATCTTTGGGATTCTCTAGGAGACCTCCAACTTCACTTTGAGAACTACTGCTCTAGAACTAGACTTATTATTTTGAATTTCCTAATAATTTTTCTATTCCTTTATTCCTCTCCTCTACCCGTAACACCCCACTTTTGTGGTGGAATTTTGGAAAACAAACACTGCAGCAGCAACCTTCAAAGCCCTTCAGGGAGGTACCCTGGGGCTACTTTGACCATCAGCACAGCTGTCTGCAAGACCTTTACTTGACTAACATCTTTAAACAGAATTACTGACAAGGGAGCTAGAAAAACAATATTCTGCAAGCCTGTGCAAAGAACTGTTTCTTGTTGGGTAAAGAAACCCAGAGCATCGATCGCTTACCTGGAAGGATGCCCTCTGCATCTTCCTCCATCCCTCAGAACTGACCATCCACTTCCCTACGCCAGCCATTGCCCAAGCTTGGCAGAAAATAACAAGGTACTGGAAAGGAGGGGGTGGGACATTATTTTGTGGGTTTGGATGGTTGTTTTCCTTTTTTTTTTTTTCCAGAAAAGCTATGATTTAATGGCTAGAAAATCCTCTCTGTCAGATGAGGATTAAAAGAGATGGAAAAAATGTGTCTGCCCTATAAAGCCCCAAAGAGGAAGACAGATTTTGTTGACAAATCATTCAGCTTTATTCCTCATGTCCCTAGAACTCTCTGCCCTTTCTTTTCTCTCTGTCATCCCTGTCCCCTTCACCTCCCCTTCCTCCCATCTCTCAACAAATCTCAACCAAAATCAACCTAAAATTGGCTTCTTGGCACCTAAATCACATGCAGTAGGGCTGAGCACTATTGACTTTATATAACTCAAAGCTGGGGAGAATATGCAGGAGAGTTACACATACTTACATCTTCCAGCAAACACAGGATTCGATTTCACTTAATTGTGATAGTTTATAAGGGATCATCCCCTCACTCCAAACCAGACTAGAGCATATGCCCAAGTTGAATTTAGGAGGCAGGGTGGTACCATGGAAAGAACTCTGTCCCTGGAGTCAGAGGTTCTGGGTTCAAATTCTGCCTCTGAACCTCACTGTGTCATTGTGGGCAAATCCCCTAAGCTCGATGGGCCTCAGTTTTCTACTCTGTAAAATGAGGGGACTGGCCTCTGATGTCTCTAACAGCTCTAATAGCCACTTGTCCATGTGTGCTATTCAGCCTCTCCTCAGCACTAAGTATGGTGCTAGAGACACACTGAGTGCTTGTCAAATAACTTATTCATTGGCAGTGCAATTTCAACTTTGTAAATAGGAAAGCAACAGGGAAACGCTCTTGTGTATCTCCAATACTGGTTCAGTGTTTCTACAGGGATGCTCTGTAGGCAAGTCCATAACAGAACTCAGTATCTTTCTACCTCTTTTTAACTTTCCTAGTTCTGTCAAGGGCACAGCAGTCTTTCCATTCAATCAATGAGTATTGCTTAAGCACCTACGATGTGCCAGGTGCTGGGCTAGACCTGGGAATACAAAATACCAAGAATGAAACAATCCCTTCATTCTCAGAGCTTATATTCTAATGATGGAGACAAGTACATATAAAAATACACAGCATAAACACAGAGTGAGCCCAAAGTCTTAGTGTAGTCCTAACCTTTAATAGCTTAGAATCTTTTTGTTGTTCAATCATATCCAACTCTTCTTGACCCCATTTGGGGTTTTCTTGGAGTGATTTGCCATTTCCTTCTCCAGATCGTTTTACAGATGAGGAAACTGAGTTAAGTGACTTGTCCAGGATTACACAGCTAATAAACGTCTGATGCCAGATTTGAACTCAGGGAGGGAAGTCTTCCTGATTCTAAGCCCAGTATTCTCTACACTGTCCCACCTAGCAGTCCTAATCTTTAATAGCTTAGAACCTTAGAGCAGTCCCAACTTCTAACAGGGGTAGCTAGGTGGTGCATTGGATGGGGTGCTAGCCCTGAAGTCAGGAAGACTCATCTTTGTGAGTTCAAATATGGCTTCAGACACTAGCTGTGTGACCCTGGGCAAGTCACTTAACCCTGTTTGCGTCAGTTTCCTCATCGGTAAAATGAGCTGGAGTAAGAAATGGTGAACTTCTCCAGTATCTTTGCCAAGAAAACCCCAAATGGGTCAATCATAACCTTTAGTTTAGGATTGCACTAAGACTTGAGACATGCTATGTAAAGTGAATAAAAACACATGTCTACAAAGTAGCTAAATACAGCTGGAGGAACTCAGGATAGGCTTCATGCAGAAGATAATGCTTGAACTGCAGCTTGAAGGAAAAGAGGGCCTCTGAGGCAGAGGTAAGGAGGAAACACATCCTGCCTGGGGCACAGCCGGTGAAAAAGCATGAAACTGAGAGGAGAGTGCTGTGTGTGAGGAGCAGGCAGAAGGCTGCATGGCAGAATGTAGATATAGGAGTAACTAATGTCCAATGGGGCGGGAAATATTGGGGACGGGTGGTGAAGGGCTTTAAAAGCTGACCAGTGGAGCTGACATTGTATCCTCGGGGCAATAAGAAGCTGCTGGGGCTGATTGAGAAGGGGAGTCTGTGGTCATGTCTGTGCTTAGGGACAGCAATGGATAGTCCAAAGGCGGATGAGATTTGAAACAGGAGATCACTTAAGAGGCGATTCCAGGGGTAATCATTTTTTTTCCCCAATTTGCATTATCTCACAGGGCAGCTAGATGGTGTAATGGATAGAGCAACCAACCCTGGAGTTGGGAGGACCTGACTTTAAATTTGGCCTCAGACACTCACTAACTATGTGACCCCGGGCAAGTCACTTAAGCCCAATTGCCTCCCCTATTGGCTGTTGCAGCGATCTAGGAAACGGATGATGAGGCCTGAGGTTCATACTCTCAGAGCCATCCTTGACTGCTCACTCTCTGTCACTCCCCCATATTTAATCTCTTGCTGTCTCTACCACCCCAGCTTCTCTCACGTCTGTCCCCACCTCTGTCTTTACATAGCCACCGCACTAGTTCAGGCCCTCATCACCTCCCATTAGGACTACTGTAATTGATGTCTGCTAATTGATGTCTCTGCCTCAAGCTTCTTCCTTCTCTAATTCCTCCACATAACTGCCAGTGTGATATTGCTAATAAACAGCCTGACCACATTATTCTCCTACTCAAGAAATTCTAGTGGCTCCCTCTGGCCTCCAGGATAAAATCAAACAGTCGTTTCTGACTCTCCATGACCCCATTTGGGGTTTTCTTCACAAAGATACTGGAGTGGTTTGCCATTTCCTTCTCCAGCTCATTTTACAGATGAGAAAACTGGGGCAAACAGATTTAAGTGACTTGCCCAGGGTCACACAGCCTATAAGTGTCTGAGGGTGGATTTGAACTCAGGAAGATGAATCTTCCTAACTCCAGTGCTCTATCCACTGAGCCTCCTAGCTGCCCACAAACTCAATAGCTTGACATTTAAAACACTTCACAATCTGCCTCCAACACACTTTCCAGACTTCTGATGTATAACCATCCCCTGTGTTCCATGTCAAAATGACCTAGTTGCTATTCCTAACACACAATGTTCCATCCCTCGTCCCTGTACCTTTGTACAGGTTGTTGCCTGTGCCAGGAAAGTCCTCCTCCTCACCTGTATCTCTTGGAATCCTTCATTTCCTTTAAAGCTCAGCTCACAGGAGCAGCTAGGTGGTGAAGTGGATAAAGCAATCAGCCCTGGAGTCAGGAGGATCTGAGTTCAAATCCAGTCTCAGACACTGTATGACCCTGGGAAGTCACTTAACCCTGATTGCTTCCTTAAAGAAAAAAAAACTCTGTTCATTGTGCCATGCCTCTTAAACAAGACCTTTCTTGAGTCTTTCAGGTGTGAGTGCTACCCCCACCCCAGTCAAATTTATTTTGTATATACCTTGGAAATATTTGATATCTATTTGTATGTATTGTTTCCCTCAATCCAATGTAAGCTTCTTGAAGGCAAAAGACTGTTTTTCACTTTGTGAGTTTGGTGCCTGGTACCACGCCTGGCATGTATGATGAGCGCCTAAAAATCCATGTTGAATGAATACGTGTATATTGTTATTTTAGTATTGCTATTCTAATAATAGTAATGAACTATGAGCAAATGTGAGCTGTTATGGTTACAAATTTCATCTGATCTTTACAACAATCCTATAATACTCTAAATATGGTTATCCCCCTATTAAGTGACTTGCCCAAGGTCAGACAGCTTGTAAGTGACCAAGCTGGAACTCCATTAGACAGAGTCAAGACAGGTTTAAGGCCATTTTTGGACAAATAAAAGAGATTGTCCCTTTACAGACTTGGTAGGAAATGCATGGAACCTGGTTTTCTAAGAAATGATACATACTCATGAGCTGACGGGCAGATAAGTGGCACAGTGATAGAGTGCCAGGCCTGGAGTCAGGAAGACCCATCTTCCTGTGTTCAAATCTGGCCTCCAACCTTTCTAGTTGTGTGACCCTGGGCAAGTCACTTAACCCTATTAGCCTCAGTTTCCTCATCTGTAAAATGAGCTTGAGAAGGAAATGGCAAACCACTCCACTATCTTTGCCAAAAAGATCCCATGACCGAACCACAACAAAACATTATCTAACATGGGTTCGAAAAAGGTTTAGATAAATTTAGTGACAACATGGTACATCACATTGTTAACAAGAAGAGCAGATTCTACAACTTTCTGAGGATGGAGTCAAGAGAAATGACCATGGCAAATGGTATCTGTGTATGTTGTTGTCTTAGACACTTGAGAGATGCATAATTCTGGAATGCAAGGAAACCTTTCTGCCCCCTTCTTTCCAACAAAGGAACCCCTTCTGACCTAGTTAGCCTGTAAGGGAAAGAATACTGGATCTGGAATTAGAAGACTTGTCTTCAGAGGAAAGAACTGGGTTCAAATCCTGGCTATGACACTAGTTATTTGACTTCCCTTTTCTATGTCTCAGTGTCCTCCTTTAAGGGAGGAAATTGGTCTACATGGTCCCCAGCTCTCTATCTATGATCATGTGAATGTGAGTTCCAACACCAACTAGTTGTATAACAAGTAGGCTGATCACTTAAGTATTTTGAGCCTCACTTATCTCATCTATAAAATGGGATTGATGGTACTTGCACTGCATATTTCACCAACTTGTGGGAGGAAAGTGTTTTGCAAAATTTAAAGCAGGACATAACTGTGAGTAGCCCAGGGGCCACTGCCAGTCTTGATGTATTTTGCCACTGAACTCCTATGACTCTGGAGGAAAGAATGAGGCTGATGACTTTGCACAGCCCTGCCTCTTTTAAATCCAATTCACTTGTAAGTCAAGACATCAAACCATCCTAAAGTCATTGGTCCTCTTTGAGAAGGACAAACACCAACAACCAATAGTCCTCCTTTTCCTTCGGGCCTCAGAAGCACCGGAAGAAGCATCCTCAGTGAACTGGAAACACTGAGGAGTGTGTCAGGGAGTAAAACTAG